GTATTGTTTCCAGAGAAAAATTCTTCCATTACTCCCATTAAATTTTCTGTTATTCCCTGAGAAATCGCCCCTTTGTTGGAATCTATTCCCATTACTCACAAAACCTGACCCTCTTTGAAAGTTTGAGCTAGTGTCACCCCCTTGTGAATTTGAACTTTCTCCATGCTCATAACTCTAGTTTCCTCTTTGAAATTTGCTAGAACTTGCCCCATCGCCTTGTACATACATTGTAGACATGGAGTTGGAAAAAACCTAAATCCGAGCCTCAATACTAGCTTATGCACCCAACAATTGTGCTCGAAAATCTTTAAGTGACATTATGGAATCCCTTGCAAGAATCACTGTCTTGATTACTTCAAAATCAATAGGCAGTCCAGATAAAACAACAATGATATAATCATTATCTGATATCTTTTCACCAGCAGAAATTAATTGATCTCGAATCCCTTTGAGTCTAAGCATGAATTTGTCCACAGAGTTTCCTCATTTTTGTGCAGTATGAAATTTCTTCTTCAGTTGATTCACACGAACCATTGATACAGATGCAAACCTTTCTTGTAGACAGTTCCAAGCTTCTTGTGAAGTTTTGCACCCAATGGCATGTTCCATGGCATCATCAGAAAAGGTGGCAGTGAGCAGACTTAGCAATGCAAGATCCTTCTTCACCCAATCTTTATATGTCGTAGTAATTTCTGTAGTAACTCCAATGTCTGTATTGATTACATACTTTGGTGGACATGGTGAATCTCCAGTGAATAAATCAAACAAATCATAACCTCTCAGAACAGACTAAAATTGAAAGCTCCATTTCACAAAATTATCATCTTGAAGCCTAACTGTAAGCATTCCCAGCAACCCCTCAATCTTCACGGACTCAGACATGATATTTCAAGAAACTTGTAATGAAAGAACACAGATGATATGCAGTACCCAACAATACACTTCGGCTATCGGCCTTGTTGAAATTCACTAGAAATGGCTATCGACCTTGTTTCACTATAAATGGCTATTGGCCTTATCAACAACACAATCTTTGGTTATCAGCCTTAACAATTCTCTACTGCAAAGACTCAATTTAGTACTAACTGCTACTAACAATTTTCCTATCAGCCTACATCATTCATCACTCGGCATGGTCCAACCTCAAATGTTTAGGCCCGAGGGGTGGCAATGGGTCGTGGTCCAGTTTATCCACCTGTATATATGTCGTCTTCGTGTTAAGTTGTTAACCTACACTTGAACAATATCGCTCGATTCTTAATCATGCACGTATCAATCCTATATTTCTATGAACTTTGAGCAGTCGCAGTCATTTCTTTTGAAAGTTTGAAGTTGATTTTCATACTACGATTCTTAATCATGCACGTATCAATACTTGTATTTGTATGAACTTTTAGCAATACCACGTGTTGTGTTTAGAATTGTCGCGGTAGTTTCTTTTGAATAGTTTGAAATTGATTTCCAGGTGTGAAATGGTGGAAAAATAGTGTGCGTATGTAGATGCAGTGACAGGGGGAATTAATTGAGGGGGAGGGAAGTAATGAGAATCACGTGAGGAACAGAAAATCTAAGGAAAGACACATAGGCCAAGGCAACTGTGAGCACTGAGCAGAAACCGGAAAGAAAGAGAGTGGATTATGAGATCACTGGATGGATGATGCCTACTCAACTCCACTGTGAGAAGTACATTTGTAGCTCTACACTACACCCTCTCTAGCTATCTAGACCTATTAGGTCTGCAGCAGCAGCTGCTACTGCTGCTGTGTCACTCCTCCTCAGGCTCCTCTTGCTGTTTTCCTGTTTGCAATGCAATGCATGCCTCTCTCTGTCTCTCTGCCTCTCACTCTCTCTCTCTCTCTCTCTCTCTCTCTCTCTCGTGACATGTCAAAATCCAAGCCTATCTGTCATGTCACAATCACCTTAGATTCTCTCTCTTTCATTCCCTAGTACCCTAGCTACTTTGATACACTTCTAATTAGGAGATAAGACGATTGCTAAGAAAGAAAATTACGATGGAAATGGTAGGATACTTGTGCATGCGAGTTAATCTTCGTCGTTTTAGCTTTATGCTTCTCGCAAACTTGCATGCATGGTTAGAATTAGTTCGCGTTCAAAAACAACTTTAGCCCTCTTCTAATTATAATTAGTAGATAAGGATTGTTAAAAAAACCATAATCGTTATTTAAAGTAGGTCATTTGTGATGAAAATGGAAGGATATAGTAGCGCATGTGTGGAGCTTGATCATGGATTCTTGATGGCATTACGATTCTTACAAGCGTAAATAATCAAAATCAGTTCAGACTTCATTACTTTATAGTTGTGAATGCGTTGTGAGTTGATTTTTTTTTTTTTTAACTTTATAATTCTTTTAAGTATGATTGGTTAGAATCAGTCCACATGCATATTCATTCTAATTACGAGTAACGCTTCAACTTAAGAAAATCAACATACCTTACTACTGTACATAGTATGAAATCATCAAAACATTGCTGCTCAAGAGTGTACAATAATTGGTTGGAAAAATTCAAAACAAATTAAAGATCTTCGTACTTGGGTCGGTAGGTTAATTTACTTCTAATTCGTCCAGTTTTGAAGGACTTTATCATCATGACAATCTCTACGATTGGGAAGTGCTTTTAATGTTTGATGCTGGTGCATAGTAGCACAACAGCATAGGCACATAGCTTGCTTTTTCAAATGTATTCATTTCGGGTTTCCCTTTTGCTTGTTGAAATGGATGAAGAGGACGAAGGATGTTTTCTTTTTATAGAATTATGGGTTCTTAGGTCCAGACATGTTCTGACCCATGCCAGGAATGTGGCGAAAAAGAAAGTCACCCCCACGCCACATACTTCTTTCTACATTTACATCCAAATTCAAGTTCTTCACATAATTCTTTCTATCAAACACCTTAGAAAAAACTTTCATAACGTATGTCGACCATGTCATATGTAAAACAACTTTCACAAACCACGAGATTGTATATATTTTAATCTCACAACACCATACTAGGCCAATTTAGTATGAAAACGGCTCTAATCAAATAGTCCTATTTGAGTTTTAAGTTTTACAGCAAAAAAAAGAGAAAAAAGAAACGAAAAGAAAAGAAAAAGCAGCATGGGATAGCTTGTACTTTAGTCGTACCAGACAGTGGCAAAGCCACATAGGAGCAAGACACCTCCGGTCATGGAAATCGACCTTAAGATCAAGAATCCGACTTTGTGATTCTTCTAAATCTACACAAGACCGTTTTGCTTTCTATTTTTTCTACTCCCACAACACCATGATCTTCTTCTCCCTTCTCATGGACTCCTGTGACTGTAACTCACATTTGCTGAGATCTCTTCTGGTCTTCAAGAACACCTTCAATCACTGTGACTTTTTCAAAACCCACCATCCCCATTTGTGTTTGAAATGTAATAACTGCAGTATTACCGACGACGGATATGTAAATATAACTTTAGGATGATTAGCTTGATTTTTAGGATTTGTTTGTCTCAACAATTTCTAATTTCGTTGCCTGACTACACACTTCTTCAAGAAGCCATTATAAAATGCTATTATCCCAATGAGAATCTAGTTGAGTCTTACTTAATCATAAACTCATGATCACAGGATCAATCCAAGGTCAAAACTGTCAACCATGACTGAAACAAACAACCGTGCGAAAAATTATTTCAACCCAATGGGTTATTAGGTAAATTAAGATAAGAACAGAAGGAAAAAGAAGTGGTTCTTAGCCATGCTCTGGCAGATTGGACATTTTAGGCTGGCATTGGTGACGGCTACAGCCATAGGCTGCTTCTGCCTTCTACCTCTCAGTCTCAGCATAATCTAACACCATAGTCTAGTCTGCAGACTTATGCCAGCTCTTACGCCCCAGCTATTACCCTTTCCTTTTTGACCATGCATGTCTAATCTTCTTTCTTCATTTTTCAGTTCTTTTTATTCTATTGTAAAAAATGCTTCTTTTATAACTTATTATTTATTGTTTGTATCATTTTTTTAATAAATATTACTAGGTTTTGAGATAAGTTTGTTTCTCCCTTTAATATGCACCAAACGTACATTGACACGTGTTCATTATTATAAAAATAAATAAATAAATAAAGCTCTCATTTATAGAAACTATTATTCACACTCAAAACTCTTAATTTGAATTTTTTTTTAAATGAACAAGCATTAATATATAATTGGTGCATTTTTAAAGGAGAAACGAGCTCATCTCCAAATAGGATAACAGACTAATTTTTCTCAACGTAGTTTGTATCATTGAATCCTCTCACTAAAATTAAAAATATAATAAAAATAGTAGACAATTTAATAATTACATGCAGCATATATTTTGCTGTTTTTACGTCATTCTCTCAACCATGTAAATATAGCATATTTTATTTAAAAATTAAGTAAATTTAAACCTCTCACAAGCACACCCGTAGGGTGCATTTTGCTCGTGTTTTATTAATGAGAAGGAAGGAGGAAAAAATAAAATATAAAGATTAAAAAATAATTCCGTTGCCGGGACTTGAACCCGGGTCTCTCGGGTGAGAGCCGAGTATCCTGACCAACTAGACTACAACGGATTTGATAGTCCTCTATGTGGTAGACTTCATAATAATTGAACCAATGGGCTTTTTCCCACAAGCTGCCACGAAAAAGTAATCATAAGCCTGGTTCAGTTATTTCCCATGGCTTCAAATTGCAATTTCAGCATCCTTTCTTTTTGCTATTAATTCCTTTTCACCTTTTCGCTTCTTTTTTTTTTCTTCTCCTTGGTGAGACAAGCAATGGTAAGGGAATCCGAATGTAGGACCTCAAGTACAAAAATAAATACTCTTAACATTTGAGCTACGAGACGCTTTGTTCACCTTTACCATATACAAATACATGCAGTTACCCATGTTTACGATTCAAAGCTCCACTGCATTGTACTTCTTATTTCAGGAATGACTACCAAAAAGACATTTTAAATGGAATAAGAAGAATCGGAGAACACCAGTGACAGTGAGTGCTGGAAAAGCACTTTCTTAATGAATTGATCAGTTCTCTTATCTTTACATTTGTGTGTCTGCTTCACAACAACACACTGGGGGGTAACATTTCTATCCAAGACTATCTTGAGCGAGTGCGACTGCTGCCAGGATTGCTAGTAACACGTGATACTGGCTGATCGAATGAACTGTCATTGGTCACCACCTTCGTATTAATGAAGTGAGCAACTGCAACGAATTATGAACATTTGAACGTTAGAAACAGAAGGTCAAACGAAATTTCAAAACTGGGAGAGAAATTATGAAGAATAACGAGAGTTACCGTTATATTCAAAGGCAAGAGTAATATGTTGTCTCTATCAAGCATACGAAAAGATTTGCTTATTCTCCATCATTTCAGAATATTAACCAAGTGTAACAAGAGGATTGCAAGGAAAACATTTAAGTTCTATCATTTCAAAGTAATGCAACATCCGATGCACTCGGCAGTTTCAGGGAAGTTAATTTCAACAAACGATTTGAGGTCATAGCTTGGAAGGATAGTTTTACAATATCAATTATCAACCAACTCCAAATGCGCAGACTTTTAGACATCTGTTCAGGCTACTCATGGTGCTTTAGCTTGTTCAAACTTATGCACATTATGCAACGACACTGAACAGTTTCCGAAACCAAAGAACAGTTCTAGTACTCCCTACCATGAGAACGAGTGCTGTTCTGACTGTATCCAATGAAATTATCCATGAAAAGTTGGATTTGTCGAGGCAAAGTACTGGAATTATGATATTATAATTTTCAAAAAAACTGTTTAAGCAGGAAGTGTTGCTGTACCTCAAACAATTCAAATGGGTTACCGCGGCGATATACATCACTCTTCTTGCTCTTATCACCGGGAAGAAACTTATACAATAGTGATCTCCATCCAATAAGTAAAACAGCAGTGCTCCCCATTGTTACAAGCATGAATTTGACTGGCGGAATGTGGCCAGCTGTTGATGCCCTTATGATTATCCCAAGCTGCCGAAAGAAGTAAAAAGAAAAATGAATTTTGAAACGTGGGTCGGTGCCTTAGCAAACATAATACTCTAAATTCTTATTAACAAGTAATGCAATCAGCATGTAAAGCGACAACAACAAGAAGTAATGCAATCAGAAGAGACAGCAAAAATAACAATGCCAGAGCTAAAAGTGTGACAAAGTAAAGTGAAAAATGATAAATGAAACTCTTGAATAACAAAGCTAATACTCCAATAATCTCAACAAAACTAGGGAAGTCGAAGCAAACCAAGCATATGAACTTACTGGAATTCCCAAGGCCCATGACTTAGCCGTAGCGGTAAGAGCCTTCGATTGTCCATTGACTCCACGTCCATCCTCACCAAAGCCTCCGAGGAAATAAGCACTCAAAAACCACCCTGTTCAACCACATTCGGCTTTTAGTTCAAAACGAAAAAAACAAAGGCCATGCTTTCTTTCAATTCAAGCTCAAGACAAGTAGCAAAGGAGAACAACCATACCAGCAATAAAAGGGTCAGCCGTGCGCAGTGTTTCGAAATCGAAAACGGGGAATCCATGGCTGAATCTTCCAATTGCAGCAAACGTAAGCAATGCCAAAACATCCCCACCAGCAAGCAATGCTACACGACTGAAACCCACAAACAATCAAAACCCACAAGCTAAAATCAATCAATAAACAAAAATATTGAACAAAATCACAAACTGGGTTCTTCCTGAAATAGTTAGAAATTACCCCCATTTGCGTAAACGAGCAGAAGAATCGGGCTTCTCGAACTGAATCACGCCTTCTAGAGGTATGTTCTCCTGACCCACGAAAACTGGTTGGTTATCGACGGAAGGCGGAGGAGGAGGAGGAGGTGATGAGGCGGAGAAGCCCTGTTTGGCAGTGGAGGAAGCCGAGTCGACGCCTCCGTTGGCCTTTACGAGCGTGATATTGAGGGATTTTGAAGGGTTTACATTGGAGAAGAATCTGCTGGGTCTGCGGGAAGAGAAGAGGGGAGGGTTTGGGTTTGAGAATTTTGGCGGGGAAGTGAGAGAACACCGCCGGGCTGATAAGGCTCCGCCGGGAGCTTGGCCGAGCACTAGCATTTTTGCCCCTTCAATTCCGTGGGTTGCTCCTCAGCTGCCTACACTCGTTCGCTATAGCAACACCCACACGAGCGCAGCGCTGCCCAAACCTTTTCTTCTTCTTCTTCTTCTTGTCTAGTTGTCTGGTTTGGTTTTTGGGCCTTTCGCTTTGAAGATATTTCATAATTTTTCTGGTTTATATATTTAACTTTCTCTTCTTGGAAAAGAATTTTGTGGTCTATATTTAGGGTTTTCTCTAAATTGGTTTTATGGTTTCTGAAATTTTAAACCATGTTTGAAAAAATGACCCTTCGTTTAATCCATGTGGAGCTTCATGAGGGAGTTTCTGGAACGACACATGTGCCACATCAGCATAGTAAAAATGTAAAGGACATCATTGATCGATTTCAAACAAAAGAGTACAAATGTAGAACTCAAATTATGCATCTATCATTTGTGATAAAAATATCTTAATTTATACTTTACGCCTTTATTGGATTTCAGTAGTTTCTATATTTAGTTTGTACTCTTACACCTAATGTTCTGTGTTCAAATCCCTATTCCCCAAATAAACAAGCAAAGATCGTTTATATATGAAAGTTGGGTTTGGGCCCAAATGCTATTTGTTTGAGTTGCATGTAGGCTGTTGTTATTTTGGGCTTACAAGGCCCAATGAACAATACAACCAATCATATTATTTTTTATAAAAATGATATATATTCTACTTCTAAATAAATCTAAATACGGGAAGCGTATTGGAACTCGAGTGAATAGGGAGATCGCATCCGTTCTAGACCTTGTGATTATACTCACGTCTCCTCATCATGGTTAACACAAAAAAAAAACAAGAGAGAGAAATTTGACCGTTTAGTTTCTTCCTAGGACAAAGTATTTTCCTTTTTACAACATTATATCCTATGATACTATAATTTGGAGTGAGAGAAATTCGAAATTGGGTGCAAAATGGACGAGCATAGTACCCCAACTAATTGCATGACATATGTGGCACTAACTCTTAGTTTAATCGTAGTTTTCCTCCAAAGTTTGATTCTCTTCTCGTATAGCAGTCACACAAATCCCTCACACGACTTCGGTGGCTACCACACCTACCGTCCACTACCCCTTCTTCGTCGCCTCACCGAAATCCAACCATCACATGAGCCACATCCAACCCCCATTCCAGTCGTTCACCCTTCCTTCAACCACCATTAGCACCACCAACTCCTCATTCGTCTCCTCCTCTCCTTGATCACTCATCAAATTGAGTTTGATAATTGTGCTCTATGGGTTTCAATTTTTATAGTTTTCAATACGATTTCTCTCTTTTTAGTGCATAAGATACATGGATAACTCATCTTCCAATTTTATTGTTCTTGAGTAGGGGTGTAGGGAATATGTATCCATTCTCGGAATCAAAAATTTGCAGCAACAAAGACACAATGTTTGAACATTTGAGGATAAGTAATATGTGGGTAAGGAGTTGTGATATAGCCTATAGGAGAGGAGTGATGTGGTGGATTGTGGCTATAGAATCAGTTCTTGAGATGGAAGGATGATGGAGGAGGACACGAGTGGCCCGATGGCTACTGATGTTACTTGTTGGTTTGTGTATTATTTATTTATGTTAGTTTTGTATTTTTTTCATATATTTAAACTTAGGTGAATTGTCAATTTAGTTCCTAAATTATCACTTGAGTGAAATTTAGGTCCTTAAAATATTTTTTTCAAAAAATTCAGTCATTGAATTATAAAAATCTGCCAATTACATTCTTAATATTAGATTCGAAGCTACTATAATTAATTTTCCGTTGATTTAAGTCACGTTACTTGCATGTGGTACACATTGGAGGGTAGATTGGTAACTTTACGTAAAGAAATAGTGTATGGAGTTAAATTTGAAGGGTAAATTAGACGTTAGATTCACAATCTATATGAAATGTTAAGGGTTTATAGGTGAGAAAATGTTGGTATTACATTCTAAAGTGCGTCAAGTGATTTAAGTTAACGAAAAATTAGATAAAATAGCTTTGAATATAATAATAGGAATGAAATTTAGGTCCTTAAAATATTTTTTTCAAAAAATTCAGTCATTGAATTATAAAAATCTGCCAATTACATTCTTAATATTAGATTCGAAGCTACTATAATTAATTTTCCGTTGATTTAAGTCACGTTACTTGCATGTGGTACACATTGGAGGGTAGATTGGTAACTTTACGTAAAGAAATAGTGTATGGAGTTAAATTTGAAGGGTAAATTAGACGTTAGATTCACAATATATATGAAATGTTAAGGGTTTATAAGCGAGAAAATGTTGGTATTACATTCTAAAGTGCGTCAAGTGATTTAAGTTGACGAAAAATTAGATAAAATAGCTTTGAATATAATAATAGGAATGAAATTGACAATTTTTAATGAATTTATGGACTTATTTTACTGAAAAATAATTTAGGAACCTAATTTTCATTGAGATGATAATTCAGGAACTAAGTCGACACTTCACACTTTAAACTTAATGGTGTTAAATTTTAGTTGGGTTTTTTTATCACAATGGTCCCTGAAATTGACCTTCACCATCAAAATGGTCTTGAACTTAAAAATCAATCAATGTAGTATCTGAAAATAAGTGTTGCAAATCAATGTAGTCATTCTTTCACAACTCTGTTTAAAATTCCGTTAAGTGATGATGTGACACATAAATGGGTCCCACAAGATTTACGTATTTTTATCACAAATGGTTCCTGAAATTAATCCACACCATCAAGACGACCCCTGAAATTGACCTACACCATCAATATGGTCTTTGAAATTGAAAATCAATCAATGTAGTCCTTAAAAGTAGGTGTTGTAAATCAATACGATCACTCTGTCATAATTCTGTAAAAAAAATTATTATGTGCTGATGTGGGTTTAATAATTAATTAAAAAAGTTGCCTAAATCCCTTTGTGCACAATGGAAATTTTTTTTTTTTTTTTTTATAGTAGGGCATACTCCGAAGAGAGCTCCCTTCCATAGATTCTCAAAGGCACAAGACTTAACCAAGGCCTAAGAGGGGGGTGTGAAAATAGTTTTCAACCAACAATGGACGCACCTCGATTATAACCTCATTATCTCAAGGTATGCCTCATCATTCCTTGCATCACTAGACCACTATGGAAGCGCCGAACAAGCTCTCCAAGATTAAGGTTGTGAGGATGTTGATCGCCTAAATGTTAACGGTGATGGTCTAGAAGTTGTTGCCAATGGGCCAAGCCATCACCAAAGGTGATCTCGATCCAAGTTCACTTCGATGAAGGGTGTCGAAGTGTGTAAAAATGGGTGTATGGAGATTTTTTTAGAGAATAGAGAGTGAAGGAGGTATAGAAATGTGAATTGGGATCGGAGGTGATTGCAAGATTGGGTTTTTGTATTGACAAATTTTTTATTAACTATTAAATTATTAAGCCTATTTGTATTTTTTTTTTAATTTAATTAGACTTGTGTGACCAATTTATGTGTCATATCAGCACATAACAAAATTTTTGACATAATTGTGACAGAAATACTACATTGATTTCAGACACTTATTTGAGGGACTACATTGATCAATTTTCAATTTCATGGACCATTTTGATGTCGCGGGTCAATTTCAGGGACCATTTTGATATCATGGGTCAATTTGAAGGACTATTTGTGAGAAAAAACTATTTATGGGGCTCATTTATGTGCCATATCAGCACTTAATATATTTTTTAACAGAATTGTGATGAAAGGACCACATTGATTTGTAACACCTATTTTCAAGAACTACATTGATTAATTTTCAATTTCAGAGACCATCTTGATGATGTAAGTCAATTTTAAAGATCATTTGTAATAAAAATTCATTTTAGTTTAAATTAATGGACGCAAATCAAGTAACTAAAAAAATAGAAACAAATGAGACACAAAAACAGGCACTCAACACATCCGCGGCCAGTTGAGGACTCAATGCCAAGAACTCTTGTCACATGCAGGGTTTTGTAGCTCAATGCGTAAAGCAAGAGGCAACTAATTACAATTAATAGTAATATAATCCTTGGGTTCTTTGCGTGCGAATATTCGAAAATCGTGTCCAAATTTTCATTTCAACATGAAGGATATGTGAACATAAGAATCCACGTTAATCATTTTTCTAATCAATCGCTTCTCATATTTTTAATTATTTGCATGTGGCATAAGCTTTGAATATTAGAATCCGCTTAATAAATTTTTATTAAGGTTTGTTTTTGAAATTATTTTTAAAATGACTTAAAGCGTATTTTGAATTAATTTTTAGAAAAAATATAAGTGAATTTAAAAAAAAAAATCACTTGAAATGCTTCTTATAAGAAACACATAACTGGTGTTACTTGCAAATTATGTGCTTCTTGCAAAAGTACTTTTGAAATTCCTAAAAATTATTTTCTAAAAACATTTCTAAATAAACTCTTAGTTATTGACATAAAAGAAATTGTTGTAATTGAAACTTTCTATCTTATCATTAAAGAGTCTAATATGTACGTTGTAATACGATAACAACGTGAATACAACCTTTTTTTTTTTGGATAATGAATACAACTTATTTGAATATGCGGTATATGTTGGCGCTTGACAATGAAAAATTGCTTGTGTTTAGGACAATTAAATTTGTACTATGATAGTGTAAATTGAGAGTGTGCGTCTGTATCTTCTACATGACAAAGACAAATTTGGCTTTTTGTTCCCATGAGTTCCCCAAATAATATAGGACCCTTCTTGGGAGATGAATTCTTTTTCTCTTGCGAATAATGTATTTTGATCGCACAAATTTATAATCAAAACAATTTAATTTGTTAATCTTTATTTGAAAATCATCTGTACAAAAAATCTGTAACATCCCACATCATTCAGGGGAGTGGATCATGTAAGCCTTATATGTATATTCTCATCTCTACCTAGCACGAGGCATTTTGAGAGCTCACTGGCTTCAGGTTCCATAGGAACTTCGAAATTAAGCGAGTAGCGCACGAGAGCAATCCCAGGATGGGTGACCCACTGGGAAGTTCTTGTGTGAGTTCCCAGAAACAAAACCGTGAGGGCGTGGTTGGGGCCCAAAGCGGACAATATCGTGCTACG